GACCCTGCCAGTGGAAGACCGAAGGCAAGGCAGGAAAGTGCCAAAGAGCCGTGAAGGGAAAAGGGGCTGGAATGGGGCCAGACCAGGATTGGGGGGGGCAAAAGGAAGAGGTGGGGTGCCCTTTACAGCATGGCCAGCTGTTGCATCGCCTGCCGAGAACATGCATAAATGAATGTGGAGCGGGGGCACCCTGGGTTCTGGAAACGCCCAGGGACTGTCCCCTGGGGGACGGAAAAGGCCAGATCCCGTACCTTCTGCTCACTTTATTTAGCCAGCCTCCTGCCCTGAATTCATCCAACTCTTTCCCCCCCCCCGCCCCCCAGGGAAGCCCAAAGCCTGGGAGGGGAAACCTCCACTGACCAGGGCCGCCCTTTCCCAATCTCACATCTCTCTGGGCGAGTTGCCAGTGTCTGGCGGCCAATCCCACGAGAGACCTTATTCCGAAAGGGTGACGCCGGAGATACAAACCAAAGGACCGTGATCTTAAAACAGGTGTCTGTAGATTTTGAAGAGTTCAGTTTTATTTGGGCTTCTTTTTCTCACCCCATTAGCTGCTCTGCCCGGACGCTGGCTGCCTCTGCCACTTGTTTTTCTCTCAGGCCTACCTTGCAAGAAGGTCTGTGACGTGCGACCAAATGGCATCGTTCCGTCCCCTCTGGGCTTCCCAGGAGAAAGAGGGAGCGAGGCCTTGGGGATGCCCTGTCCAGCCCCACAATAACTCCGCTGGAGAGAAGGCGGCCGTCTCTTTCTCAGCGGCACTAGGGCCCTTTTTCTGCCTTGCCCGTTTCCAAACCTGCACCACCGCGCCCAAGGAAATGGCTTCCCACTTTCCTGCTAACACGATTCCTGCAGCAGAGACGTGACGATCTGTTAAGGCAAGAGACGCTCGTAGGAGCCTGTCCAATCACAGCAGCTTTCAACCTGACAAATAATGCAGCAGAGACCATCCAGGGGAAGAAGCCCACGTATAAACATGGATTAAGCATTTGGGCATTCTCGCCTGCAGGACGGGAAAAAGCCAAAACCAACAACTAAAAACGGCTCTTGGGAAGAAAGAGGAAAAGACGGCTTGAGACACACGGAGGCTAAAACAGAAGGAAGCGTGACCTACATAAGAGAAGGGAGAGCTTAAAGAAAAAAAAAGAAGAAGAAGGAAAACCCTGAACGGCAGATGTTTCAGGAGGTGGAAAGGTTTGCTACCGTGAGAGGCAGTCTACCGAAAAATCCTCCCGTGTTTAGCGTCTTTCCCTGGCCTAGCCAAGGCAGATTCACTGGGAAGGATTTCTCATTGCTCCACCGCCTGACACAGGCAGGCACGTTCCCTGGGTGTGCAGAGGGGGAGCCTGGGACCTGGACGGCCCCTGGGGGGGGGGACGGACTCTCTTCTCCTGACACATTTATTGATTGTTCCCCTCGGTTAACAGCTACTGATCACATTCTGTGAAGTGGAGGAAGTCCAGCCTGAGGCTTGGTCGGCCTTCAAAGAGGCCGTGGCTCAGAACGTGGTGCCCCATTCCGGGGGGGGGGTCCGGGGAGGGGTCTGGGTCGCTTTATTTGACTAAAACCGTCCTCTGCTGCCTTCTCGGGGCCTGCGCGCTAGATGACCAGAACCATCTGCTAAGCACCACTTGGCCCTTCTCCTTGACTCATCCAATGGCTTCACATTGGATGAGTAAACGGATCTTTTAAGCTTTACATCTCACCTCTAGGGGAATCCCACCGCCAGGCATGGGGCTCTGTGAGCAGCATCCTAGAATCACGGAGCTGGAAGGGGCCTCCAAGGCCACTGAGTCCAAGCCTGCTCCCGCTCAAGGCAGGAAGGCAAGTCAAAGCAGATCTGACAGACGGCGGACCAGTTTACTCTTGAACGTCTCCAGCGTTGGGAGCGCTCACCGCCTCCCCCTGAGGTCAGCAATGTCTCCAGCGTTGGGAGCGCTCACCGCCTCCCCCTGAGGTCATGGGTTCTGTTGTTCTTCTGCTCTTGCAGTTGAGACGTTTCTCCTGAGATTCAACTGTTCTGCTCTAGCAGTTGAGACGTTTCTCCTGAGATTCAACCAAAATCTGGCTTCCTGTCGCTTGAGCCCATTAATATGTGTGGGGATCCACCCAGTAGCAACTTTGCAGCTGAGGTGAGTTTAAACTGGGACCTCTCGCTCTCTGGCCCTTGCCCCCGCAAACCACAAAGGACAAAAGCAGTTGTCTACTGGCAATCCAGCGATACCCTGCTGGTACAGTGTGAAGGCGGGCTGGAAAGAAGTGGGCTTGTGGGGGAAGTCCCCCCAAGGGAGGAGGGAGGCCCTCTTTGCAAAGGCACGGGACAGTGTGATGGGTCTTCTTCTGCAGAGAACGGTGGTGGCGCCTGACACGTGTACGCTCCACCTCGAACTGTGAAAGGACCCCAAAGAGCAGCCTTGCAAGTCTTCATCCTACCAGCCAAGCACTGGCGTCTGCCCGACATGCAGGGTATGTCCCCCAGGAGACCCACAGTTACAGAGTCAGGCACTGAATAATTAAGCACACCAGCTAATTTAGCACGGAGTCTCGAGCTTCCTGCGCTCTCTGCCAAGTGCGCTTCCATCACTCCTCCCTCCTCTCTAGCATAGTCATCAATTCGCTGCTAGTCAAAGAGGTGGCCATCTGAGCACCACAACCGACCCGACCACCCCTTGCCAAACGCGAAGCGTCTATTTTCTGGTCTACGGCCAACCGGACGCCAAACTCCGGGAGACCAAGGAGATTCTTCTGAACAGGTCATGAGAGCCAGCAATGCTCGGTCGTCAGGAGGACGAAGCAGCAGGATGAGACAGCATTGGCTACCTTCATTAAAAGGCTCCTAAATAAAATATCACAGCAGAGAACAGAGGACTTCAATTCGCTCGAGTGTCTTTGGCAGAGCTAAAAAACCTCTGCAGTTCTGTGAGGCTGAAGCTCCCTCCGGCATCCACGGAAGAGCTGATGCCGCCTGCCTGACTCCCAAACCTTGGGATGGGAACAGGCAGGGTCTTAACTACTCTGGAGGGGCTGCATTCCTACGAAAGAGCACTGCACGGAACGGCAGAATCTGGCAGGGGCAAACAACAGATTTCTACTCACACCCCTAGGACCTTGCTCCAGCTGATCCTACTTGCTATATGCTCGGTGCTCCTGGGAGGAGAAAAGGCTGCAGGGAATCTCTCCCTGTTTGACTCTCAGCCACTTTTGGAGACCCAGGGTCATCATCCAATTAGGAGCAAATCCCCACAAATTCTCTGAAAGTCCCTCCCAACCTGGCCAGGCAGATGGGTTCTCTCCTTTCCTCTAAGCGGCCACCTGCCAGGTGGCTCCTCCGTTACGAGGCCTAGGGGTTGGCTAAGCCTCCACCTTCCGTTGTAGTGACAACCAGTCTCCTGATGTTGCAGGCCCGCGTACGCTCCCCCTCACACAGAGGAGCCGGGCTGCCCGTACAGACAAGGATGCTGTCAGAAATGATGCCGAAATTATGCCTCTTTTGCCTGTTCTGGGTTTCCTTCCTTTTGCTGATGCCATCCTCTGTCCAGGCCTTCAAGTTAACACAATAAATGTCACTGAATTTGCAAATCTGGTAAATGCTGTGCAAGGGAAGCAAAAGGATATTCTCCCTAAATGTGGGCATGCTGTGAAGAGCATTTTCTGTGAACGGACCAAGAAAACCAGCTCTTTTATGGGGCCAAGACTGTCCTGCACCAGCTACAGTAGGTGGTTCTAAATATTTGGAAACACCAGCGGCACCTGAACACACACAGACACTCTCCCCACATGGATCAGTGAAACAAACTAGAAGCGTACTTTGGTGGCCACCAGCCCAATCTTTCAAGGGCAGAAAAACCTGGCTTTGCGGCTGGAGGAAAGGACAAAGAGCGCCGCATATCGTCCCACGCCAGGCTAAAGCAGCAGCAGTCACAACGGTTGCTGGTGCCGACGAAGCAGGGACCGAGACCTGCCCTGAGCTGAGACATCTTGGCAGGGATGAAGCAGTGGCCCAACCAGTCTGCGGGCTGTGCTGAGCGTTCAGGGTGGCGCCCTGGCTATTTTGCAAAGGAGCAGGATGACAAGGAGAGATCTGAGGTTCTGCCCAGTGGCTCTCACTCCAGAGCAAAAGATATTTCTGACCCCCAGCCCCCAAAGTCAAATGTTCCACAGCCTCCCCCCCCCTTTCCTGTCACCTGGTCTGGAGAGCTCATTTCCTCCCCAGCCCAGCCTGCCACTCCAGCACCATTCACTTCCACACGTCTCTTCAGGCTCGGTTGGGTGAACAGGCCCTCTTTTCGTCCCTCCCTGAAAGAGGAGGAATGGCTGCTGGCTGGGGAAGAGGCACACAACCTTTCTCATGCCGTTAACAAAGCCAAAGGTGAGGGGGGTCAAGCGAGTGGGTGCCCTCTGTACTTTCTCGCTTCAAGCTTCCTCACTTTTGTCCATTAACAGACAAACCCATTGAGGGAGGGCTGCGGAGGTCTCTGTGCCACCAGCTCAACGGCAGACAGCAGAGCCCCTGTCCCTCCTGGCGGTCCAGATCACGGGTGCAGAAATCCACCAGGCCGACAAGCCATGGCTCTTCCTGACAGTCCTTTTGTCCCCGAACGGGCGACACACACAGACTGGCTGGACAAAGGCAAGCAGGTGCACAGAGCAGATCCCGGATAAGCTGGAGGTCGAGCAGATGCAGGCAGAGGCAAAGCAAGAGAACAAGGTGCCGGAGCCCGGTGAGGTCGGAAAAGCGACGGCTCAGATTAAGGAGAACACAGGCCATTTTACAGAACCCATTCGCTTCTGTCAGAGCTGCGCCGAAGTGTAAGACTTTCAGAGACCCCAGCGCGTCACTGCAGCAGGCAGGCCGCCAACCAGCCCACAGAGTCATCGAGCAGCCCCCCCAAGGACTGAAGGAACTCCAGAGCAGCCCTACTGGGGGTGGGTGGGAAGGAACGTGGGCCAAGCGCGGTGCCTGGACGCCAGCGGCGGCCGAGCTGCTTCCCCTGGGAGCTTTGCTAAGCAGACCGTCCGGGCCCTCCTTCCAGCCGTACCCGAAGCCTCTCCCGCCACCCTGGTGTTCCCACGCGGGGCCATGCGCCTGAGGCAACAGGCAACAAAAGGGGATGGCCCACCATGGCTGGTCAGAAATCTTCACAGCTGGGCCGAGCTATGAAGAGCAGAGGTGTGAGGCCGACGAATTAAAACAGAACAAGAAAAAGGTTCACTGGGGACACTCGGAAGTTTTGTGTGGCTTAGCGGAGGGCTTCTGTTGCCCGTGGAAAAGACCAAGCTTCAGTGAAAGCTTTGAGTGGAACGACACACCGTTTATCTGTGCAAAAGGGTGTCCGAACCTGGCCTTTTGGACTGTGTGGCAGGCAAGTGAGATGGGAGGCTTGGTGGGTTTTACCAAATCTGGTTTAGAGCTTTTATATAATATTTTAGAATATCTGTCATGGTTTTATAATTTCCATCAGTATATTTTTAGTTATTTGTGAATTTTTATTTTTGACTTTTATTTTTGTAAGCTGACTTGGGTTCCTGGAGAGGGAGAAAGGGTTGGTTAAAAATTCAAACACCCTATTTTTCCGTGTATAAGACATGACTTTTCCCTAAAATCATTACACTAAAAATTGAAGGGCGTCTTTTACACGGAAGTAAGCTGAGATAGCCGAAAACAAAACGGCTCATACCTTGCCTCTGTAAACAAGTTTCTTCCAATTCGGATGCTTAGCTGCCTCCACTCATAAGCCTTATGGAACTGATGTCAGTTCATGCTGAACAAACCAACTGGAACACACCTCCTTGGACGTGGAGCCTGTAGGCTCAGATGCAACAGGGACTCCTAATGTCAGTGTTCTGAGCCCAAAGACTGAATCCTCAAAGTGAAGTTTTCTTAATGTTTGGGTTAGATGTGTGTGTGTGTGTGTGGGGGGGGAAAGTTTTCTTAATGTTTGGGTTAGATGTGTGTGTGTGTGTGTGGGGGGGGCTCAGCGGGCCATGAATAAAAATGGGGCCTCTCTCTCGCTCAGCAGGCCATGAATAAAAATGGGGCCTCTCTCTCGCCCTCTCCAAATGTGTTATGCTATGGGCTTACCAAAAGGAAGTTGTCTTGTGTCCCTCTTACCATCAGCACAGATGGAAGAACCATTTTACTTTAACTGCTGGCTTGCTCATTGAAAAATTCCTACACAACAGAAAGAGAAAGTACCACCCCGGGCATGACAGGTGAGATGAAGGTCCCTGAGAGGGAGAGGGAGGCTCTCCTTGTATCAATACCTGCCCCCAAGGTTAAGGGAGGCCCTTCTGCCTATCCCAGCTACAGGGAACGAAATTTCTGATTGGCCAAAGGCAGCCCTCGTCTGCCAAATGGTACCTCCTGCCAGGCAAACGATGCTCCGTTTTCTGGACCCAATAACCCTTTAGCATCTCCTTACCTGGCTGTGGAGGCTGAGGAGGGGGCATCTGATGGTGCATCATGGGATACGGAGGCGGCTGCTGGTGAGACATCAAGCCTGGGTGGCTGGCAGCCCCCAGGGGGTTCATGCCGGGCCCCCCGGAATGCTGGTGGGCCTGCGGAGCGCTCTGGCTGTACTGCTGCTGCTGCTCCAGCTGCTGCCGGGCGCGCAGTTCTGCGTACTTGAGCTGCTCCATATGGAAGTTCTGGCGCTCAGTCAGCAGCTGTTGCCTCTGCTGCTCCAGCTGTGGAGAAAGAGACTCACATCATGAACACAACAATTAAAATCAAGCCATAAAACATCACCAGGCTTTCTTTCCTCCCAGATGCCTTTATTAGGAGTGTTCCTTGATCATTATTATTATTATTTTATTATTATTATTATTAAAATGAGATCTAGAATTCCTCTCATGTCACGTACAGGCTGATTTCCAGCATTCATCACGCCCCATGCAAGGCAGAACAGGGAGAGGAGAAGGCAGCCCCAGGTGGTGGTGGTGGGAAATCCCTCGACCCCCAGATGGAGGAGACGCATCCCAAGGGCCTCCCCCTCACATGCACCTCAGAGATGCTCTTCCCCACCACAGGGAGATGGGACTCTCAGGCATGCACGAGTGCGAAAGTCTACCTCAAGGTGGCCTTTGTACATTTTGGAAAAATGAGGCCACCATCTTTCTCAAGGAGGGTGTTTTCTATTGCAGTGGCTCCCAACCTTGGGCTCCGAGAGGTTCTTGGACTGCAACTCCCAGGAATCCTGGCCAGCACAGGTTCCTAGAGGGTCGACTGCCGAGACCAGAGCGTCCGAGCTCAGAGATAAATTGAGAGGTTCTTGGATTGCAACTCCCAGGGATCCTGGCCAGCACAAGTTCCTAGAGGGTCGACTGCCTAGACCAGAGCGTCCGAGCTCAGAGATAAATCCAGCTGCACGCCCAAGCTGTGAGTGTTTAAGGGGTGTGGAGGCCCATCTAGCACACCAGCCACCATGGGATAGTTTCAAACAGGAGACCTCCAACATCACCCCCTAAAGCGGAGGTTTCCAGAGAGTCAAGCATAGAAGGTGATGGTGGAGTTCTTCTTCTGTTTGAAACCATGACCATTCGGCTTACTGCGCCCCTCTGGGTTCTGTCTAGTCCCTTCAACATATACATAAAGCCACGGAGCGAGGCTGTCCAGAGTGTTGGCTTTTACTGCCACCACCACCACGTTAAAGACACCCAACTCTATCTTTCCATTCCATCTAAATCCGAGGAAGCTGCGGCAGTTTTAAACCAGTGTCTTGAAGTCAGCAATGCACTGGATGAGGTGAACGAGTGAAGGGTTAATCCAGGCAAGATAGACGGGCTCTTGGTCAGCTAAAAGGCAGATCAGGGAACAGGGCTTCAATCGGTTCTAGATGGGGCCAAGCTCCCCTTAGGAACTCACAGCCTGGGTAGGCGGCTGGATTGATCTCTGTCTGGATGCCCAGGTCTCGGCAGAGGCTAGCAGTCAATCTGCACAGCTAAAGTTGCCAGTTGTGCCCATTCCTGGAAAAGTCTGACTTGGCTACGGTGAGGCATGCCTTACTTACACAGCCTTACTGCAAGGGTCTTCTACATGGGGCTGTGTTTGAAGAGCGTTCGGAAACTTCAGCTGGTCCAAAGCAGTGCAGCCAGTCTGATCAAGGCCAGCTACTATAGGGAACATGGAACTCCCCTCCTCCAGCAGCTTCCCTGGCCCCCTGCTCCTTTTGCAGACAGAATCCACAGTGCTAGAAAGCGCTACACCAGCTGGATTCAGGTGATCTGAAAGCCTGCACCTTCCTGTACAAGCCCACCTGGGCATGAAGAGATGCGGGAGAGGTCCTCCTCCTCATGGTTCCCCCACCTTCAGAGGTCCATCTGTTGGGGACTTGGGAGAGGGGTCTGTCATGCTCCACCCAGGCTCTGGAGTGCCCGACAAAGGCAGGCTAGATTTGCCCACGTCCTCCCTCTCTTTTGGCTAGCAGCTGAAAACGTTTTTATTTAATCCGGCCGTTGACAATTCAGAGCCATGATTTCCCAGCGGATGGGCTTGTTCTCACTGTTTTATGTTAAATTAATACTACTATTTTTAACTGATTTTAAAAATTATAATTTTTATTTATTTTAACCCTACAACTGATTCCAATTCCATTTTAATGTTTGTCACTTTATTACATTTTTAATCTGCTCTTGCATTAGGTTAGCTTGTAAGCTGCCTGGGTTCCAGAAAGATGACACACAAGACAAAACAAAACAAAACAAACAGGACATGCCGCGTACTGCATGAAGAACACCCACCTTTGGCAAGCACACAGTTTCAGGTAACAAACACAAAGGTAGCATAAATGGGCATGGCTCTGTTCGGTTTTCTATTCCTGGTTTTCAAAGAATTTTACTGATGGTAATTGCTACTGTCATGGTTTTTCTCTTCCTATACAGATGGAAGTCAAGCAAATAGCTTCTGGGCTCAGACAGGCACGCAAAGCCCAGCCATTCAGATGGAGAGGCAAGGACCAGGTGCCCCTCAGACCAAAGTTATTTCCAATCTCTCTAAACAGCTTGATTAAAAAAATGGAAAAGAGGCAGATTCGCAGATTTTGAGGATTCTGCTCATCCCCAGCATACACAAGAGACACTGGATGTTCAACGGCACTGACAGCCAAAGGAGTTCCTGGGGTTCGTGAGGGCTAGAATCCAGCTGTGGGTTCACATTTGCTGGGTGGTTTTATACACGTCACACAGCCTCGTTGTTTAAAATGTGATCATTCCGTGGAAAATGTTAACAAAGCAAGGTGCAGGTTTATAAAGCATCAAGCACATGTTAAAATGCAACAAGAATCATGAACAAAACATACCTCCTGTCACTGTCAACTGTGTATTAATGCACCCTGTCACCATTTCCGAGTTAATAAGGCTCTTACGTATGCAATATTGACTTTAGCGCAATTAGGACTGACAGCACGAAAATGGCTTCAGTTCATAAATTAAATTACATTATGTATAAACCCTCTCTTGACTTCCCTCCTCTACCCTTCTTTCCAAAAATGAAAATGAAACAACCATTAGTATAAAAGGTTCACAGACAACAAAAGACTACAGCAGTATGTTTAGCCACCAGGAGCTTCTCTGAGAAAAATCTGCAAAGATTTCCCAAACGGAAAGCATTAAAAAAAAAATGCCCCTAACGCGGCATGAATGTGAGCTACGGCAATGAAGTATTTTCTTCCACAGTAATGACATTCAGAGAGAGAGCCTCCCGCTTAGCAACAGCCTTTTCCTCATCAGCCAATTGGCAAAAGGGGGTCTGCAGCACAGGCTGGTGGAGATGGGCAGAGCAGGCACGCACTTCAGAAAAGGTGAGGACGCCGCTCAAGGGAAAAAAATAACCACCACCATCACCGGCAGATGCTGCCGCCACTGCTGCCGCCACCCAAACACCCACCCGCCCGCAGGGCTGGGGCAGAAGCAGGCACTTTGATGGACAACATTCGCTGATGTATTTGGTGAATGTCAACAGGATGGTGGGGGGCGGAGACACACAGCATACAATTGATTTGCTTGTGAGCAAGTGGGTAATTCGTTCAGTTTTCCTAGAAAATACTATCGGTCAACTCATCTCTCGCCCTAGGAGACAAATTCAAGACGGAGAGATCCAATAAAGGAAGCCGTGGAAGCTTGAGCTTGCAAGACCTGCGCAGGGCCCCGCTAAAAAGGACAGGTGACTTTCACCAGGTTGCTACAAGCGGAAGAGGGCTTGATGGCTGAGAACAGCAAAACCCCCCACACACACACACCACCACCACCCTAAGCACGGTTCACTCCTTCACAGGAAAGGCACGATCCGGAAAAGAACGGTCCTTAGGAGAGACATAAAAGGCAGCTGGGATCTCAGGAGATCTTGCGGGGTGCAACACACCTGATCCTTCCCAGTCTAGAGGAAGTCGACTTCATGGGGTGCAGTAAGGGTAAGCTGAGGCAGGGTGGGGCTATCTGTCCTTGGCTCAGGATGTGTGCCCTGCTCCCACCACCAGCGTCTCTGGCTTTTACTTCTGTCGTTAATGTTTGTTTTTGTTTTTTTAAGCAGTTGTGCTGCTTCCTGGTAGTTGTTCTTTGGGAGGTGCCCTCTACAGAATCTAATGGGCAGTGACACTACAATTCCCAGCATTCTTCCCTCCCAGTTGGCCAACCACTTTTGTGGCCGCGTGGCTGACTATGGGGTTATAGGCCATAGTGGGCACTGAGGATTCTGGGAGTCAAAGTCCTACTGCCTCTCAGGTTCCACAGTGGGTCCCTTCCAGAAATCTACAACTCCCAGAAAGCATGCAGCCGCTGCTGCCTCCTCCTCCTCTTTTAAAAAACAACAACAACAACAGATGGCAAAGGCTGGAGGAGCCGAGGATGATCGTGTGGCAGTGTCGGGGATCATGAACTAGAACACCCTTCTTAGGGCGTGTGTGAAATACAGAGATCTGCAGGCGGGCTCAAACTCCCCAAATTATGCCAGGAGCATTCTTGGAGGTGCAGTTCGAGACCACAAAAGAGCCCAACCCTTGATGCAAGACTCCTCCCCATCCCCCACCCCTTGAGCATCCGCCCCTTGGTATGAAACAAAAGGGCCACCATGCTCCTGTGGCTGAAGCCCCACCCTCTCCTGACCCATGGTGAGACGGGTTAAGAGGGGGCAGCAGGCCTTGGGCCCCTTTCTTCAGGTCTATGTAAGAGGAAGGGGGAGGATCTGCAGAGGAGAAAAGGTGGAGGTCGACCTGGCAAAGCAGGGCTCTCCGGACCTCCACTCTGTGTGTGTGTGTGTGTGTGTGCGTGCATGCGTGCGCATGCGTGCCTGTCTGCTGGCCTGCCTGCGAGGAACAGAACAGCCACTTCAGAGACGGTTTCTGTCTGCCTTCTTTTTCACGCAAGTCAAACGGTTGTAATTCACCTGGTTAAAAGCCGGTGGGGAAGAGCAGGAGACTAGGATGTCAGCACATAACCGTAACCTTTCAGTGCAACTGACTTGAGGATCTCCTCTCTAACCCTTCTTGGAATGCAGACTCAAACCAAGAAAGTGGCCAGATGTTTGTGTAAGTAGAGAAGAAGGGCATTAAGGGGAGCTACGGACACCAATGTGCAAGGCAGGAGGAAGCGGCAACTTCTCTGTGGAGTGGTATACAGCGTAAAAATGTCAGCAGCATCCACAGGAGCCCCTGCTTCCAGCTGAACGCAGCCTCCAAACGTCCACGCCTCTCAGCATATGCCTTGAAACGCACAGCGCCCTTGTGCCTTACCGCCTCTTTCTCTCGGTCCATGATGGTTTCCAGCTCTTCAAAATGACGCAGCTTGATCTCCAGTTTCTTCATCTGCGTCTCCACCAGGAGGGCGACCAAGGACTTGATCTTCCTCTCCTCCACGGCCGCCAGATGCTGAGGAGACACACCGGTTTTAACGACTTATGAGAATTATGAGCTTTGTGGCACACCAAATAGATAGGAAGGGTAGCCAAAATTCTTCACTTTTGTCAAATATATATTATGCTTTCGTTTCTTGTCTTTCAATCTGATGGTAATCCTCCTGAGGTTCCTCAAATCTTACTGAATGTATTGATTTTGCTTTAAAGTCCTTAAACGAGTTGGTGCTGGAACCCCTTTATTTATTGATCAACCCACTGCATTTATTCTCCGCCCACTAAGACACAACGAAGGAGGGAAACCTGAAGGTGGGCTGGTTTCTGTGCTACCTACAGCACAGCTGCTGTTATTTGCCCGAGAAGCTGTTCCAACGCTATGGTTTCCCAGAATGTGAAAGCAGCTCTTCGTGTTTCCTCCACGGCTAATCTAGAGGACTGATCTGCAGGCCACTGAATAATTGAATTTGAAACTATGAAGGCATGTTGTGTTTGAGATTAATACAACAAATGATTACATTTCCACTAATGGAATAACTTCATTTATTCTAATGTTCCCACAAATTGAATCATCTGCATTAGTACATCTTGAGAGATTGCTCAAGAAGGCTTTGACACTCAAGTTCTGATTATGGCAACAGCTCTTAAGACGAACTGGCATTACTGGGGTACTTTTTGTTTAAAACATGAGTGAGCTGCCTCTCACATCGTTTGCTAAAGAACACAGAACCTTCTGCTCTGAAGGGAAGTTGTTGGTTGTTCCACAATTCTGCTTTAGAGTAGGTAATTACATGAAACAGCTCCCTCTTTCACAAACCCATAGTAACTGTGTCCTTTTACAGAATTAAAAATGAACACATTTACCAGGCCCTTTCCCCCTAGCATCTGTCTTCAGAGGCAAAGAAAAGGGGGCTAAAACCTCAACATCTCAATTCTATTCACATAGTTGGATGATACCCATCTGTCTGCAAAGGAGAGGAATATAGCTCTCCCCCCCCCACTCCATATCAGCGCTTTCTTCTCGGACGACAGGAGCTTCCACCAATTACTCAGATCTTTAGCAATGGTAGATTTCAGAAGCCTTCAGGGAGGCTTTATCTCTAAGCAGCTCAGGCTGTGAAAGCGCTGGTGCCAACCTCTAAGGCTTAGCTTTGCCCAGGCCACTTGGAACCTCCACCTTCAGGTTCATTTCTCTGTTTAAAAAAAAAAGAGGCGCACCATCATTCAAGATGAAAGGGAGTGGCAGAAGCAGTATGGCCATGCTTTCAAAAGACCCAGAAGCCAAGAGGCTGGCCGTGGGAGTCATGGGTGATCCTTAGCAAAGAGAGAGGAGGGTGTTTCTCCATTCATTTCCTTGGAAAGTAGACAACGGAGGAGGGAGCAGGGAAGAATTATGATTTTGGGGACAAATACGGAACTTTCTCCTCCTCCTCCTCTGGAAGCATTACTGCAGAGCTGGACCAGCCACACATTCTCCTTAAGACGATGGGATTCTCCTCTTAAGCCAAGGTCAAGGGGGCCTGTGAGGAAGGAATTCTTGGCTCACTTTGAGAGTCTTTAAATTGCTAAGAGAAACTGCCCACCGAAAACGGCAGAAAGGAAGCTGACAAGCTCTCTGGAAGAGTTCCCGCTTTCAGTGTGCCTTTTGTGGAGGGCTCACAATAGCAGCCTTAAACCAGGGGAAGGAAGGAAACCAATTCCATTTAACGACAACGTTCCCTACAGCTGAAGCCGAGGAGCACAAACAGCTCATTTTAAGGAACGAGGAATGGGAACAAGCCCCCATGCTTCGCCACCACAATGGGGCCCCTTTTTTGAAAGCACTTCTGAACAAGCCCCGGAAACGACGCGCCGTGGAAATCTGCACAGGGCAAACCTTGGCTTTGGTGGCGGCCGAGGCGAGAGCGGCAGCTGCAGCGGTGGCCACGTTCCCTTCCGAGAGGTCGGGCTCCGCTCGCTTCTTCCCAGCGTCGCTTTCCTTCTCTTTGCAAACCTCAAGGTTCTCCTTGTTCTCCTCAGCCTCCTTCTCATCTAAAGAAGAAAAACACTCTCTTGTCAGCAGCCGCCCACACGCGCGCGCACCCACCCACCCCTCGGTTACTCCTGCCGATGTGACGTCACTTTGTTAGACTAAGACTAATCTGCCCAACACTCTGTTTTGGGGAGGCTCAGCTTTTCAACTCGTTCAGAGCACGAATCGCTTGCAGCTTTGCTGCCAGAAACTTATCCTCGTTGCACGAACTGATGTCTCGAATATCACTCTTGGAATACTGAAACATGTTGTGACGCTTTATATTGGTTCTAATGAAGGGCTGACTCTGCACCCGTTTGTTCAAACTGCTCCCCTTCCAAATAAGAAAGCAACCCAGTCACTGCAGGCTGGGTTTCCTAAAAGCGCACGCACCCAGCTGAGGCGACACATTCACAAACACGGCTTCACTTCCTAGAATGAAGACCCAAATCATTGGGTCCTATCTCGCCCTTGGTTTTTATTACCACAGGAATATTTTCAAGAAGGACTTTACAAGCCCATCTTCTTTTTCATGATTTAAACCAACTAACATTCTGTCTACTTCAGAGCTGAAGAACTGCAAAACCTATCTAGATTTTTAGAAAGCTGGATTCGTACAGAACCACCTCAACTGTTCGGAAGTACAGAAATATGGTACTATTTAAATTGTGGAGCCTCCATTCAGAGAGATGTATAGAATGTCACAGGACAGTTAAAAATGGTCCTTCTTAGCTCGGGAGCACGGAAAGAGAACCCGTGAAGAGGCGGGTCCTTTGTTATTTCGGTTTAAAAACAAACCCAATGGCGCCACTATAGGAAGCAAGGCGTCTCATATTCCTCTCAGCCCAAGCTGTTTTAGTTCAGCTTTCACTGCCTGGAATATACAACCAAGATGAAGACAGAGGGAGAGAGATCTTAACTGAAGCAGGAGGGGATTTCAGAACCAAGATTTAGTGCCTGAGCAAGCTGGGGAAAAGAATCTTGGACATGAATTGCTGAACCCAGAAGGAAACAAAGCTCAGAGGAAGGAAACGCACGACTCGTTACAGGCACCGTTTGTCAGGCTTTCCTAGAACCGCTCGGCCAGGAGGGGCTGCCCCGTCGTACCTGGCCTGGAATCCTGAGAGAGGTCACCCTCCGGCTCCTTTTCAGCATTTCTCTCCTCTTCTCCTTCCTGTATCTTTCCATCCCCTATTTCGTTCTCTCCTTTGTTCTCCACCTAGAAAGCAGGAAACGAGAAAGAGCCAATAAACCCCTCCGTAACTGTTAAAAGTCTCAAGTGTTTGGGGACAGGCAGGCAGTAACGCAGCTTTGCAACAGCAGCCTATAGCCAACTGTTAATAAATACAGCATTTGGAGGGGGGGGAAGTCAGTTTCCATCATCATCATCATCAAACCAGTGCTACTAAAAGCCGCCAACTCTTAACTTCTGGAGACACAAACAGTAAATGCCTAATAAAGGACAACGGTGGTAGCCACAGCTTCTTTACTCAGAAAGCCTTTGGAGGCACTCAGGAGGCAACGAAAAGGATGCTTTTTGAGTTTCTGATCCATAAGGTGGTGAGTGGAAAACCCACTCCTTGGTCTTGCATGAAGTGGCCAGGGCAGAACCCTGGTGGGCGAGAAGAGGCTGAGAGAGTCCGTGTGCCCTCCCCTCCCCTGCTTTAGGTGGCAGCCGGATGCCTGGAGACTGGGGCGATGCTCCTGCCAAGCACGGTGTGCCAAAGCGAGCACCAGCATTCCCATCCGGGACCGGGGGGCAGCTAGGAAGCAGATCCTCCGGGCAGGGTTTGCTCACCCCAGCGTTCAGGCAGGAATCCCACTCCCACCTCTTCCCCTCCTGGGTCCATTCAGAGGCATTCCGCTTGTGAGGGGCTGGACCCTCAGGAATCACTGGCACAGTGACTCTCGAGTGCTGACCGAAGCCATTTCTCTTGAACAGCTCAACGGCTCTTTTTGGGGCAGTGGCCGGGGTGGGGGGAGAGAGAGAGGAGATGAGGCAGCCAGGGTGAGAAGCAACTTGTTGTCTGGCATGTGAAGATAATGGTGGTCAGACTCAAACGTACTGTTTTAGGCACAAATGCTGTTTGGTCAGCAGCCAGGCGGGCAGGGTTTCAGTTCATAAAAGCTTTCTGGAATGTACATTGGCACCTAAGACATGCTTCTCTGGGCTGGACCTTGTCATGGTTTAAAAAAATGTTTTCATATAATCTTGAGACAGCTTTTCTTTTTAATATGATACATCTAACGTAATTTTAGAGCTGTTGATTTTCAACAGAAAATCTTAGGAAGAGGCAGCCCACTCAGGCAGTGGATTCTGGATGGCATAAAGCAACTTGTTGGCCATTAATTACAACGGCCCTTAGTTACTGATTGCTTCCTCTCACACCATAGCAGACGCGTTGATGGGGTTTCCTCTTTTTCAGGGGATGAAATAACAAAAGCTACGGCCCTTGATCACGGGCCAGGCACCATTTGCTGTTCTAACTGAGGAAGCCACCTTTTCCCTCCTCTTTTTGTGCAAGGCTTCTTCCATCAGCCAGAAAAGTTTTGGGCTGACTATTTGGGACGCAGGTGTGTACTATTTTGATTTGCTTTGGGGCCAAAACGCTGTTAAATCCTGCTCCAACGGTGAGATCTCTCAGGAGCTGATATGCCATCGCGTGACAAAGAGAGGCGACGCACCGCAGGCAAAGCACTGGCCTTTCTTCCATGTAGCTCCTGCTGGCGTGATGGAGGATAAGACACCATGTGGTCTCTGCTCCCTATTTCTGTCTGGGACTCTGCAACTCTCTTCTACAGCTACAACCATCCCTGTCTACCTCCAAACCATATTCTCCAAAGACTGGAAACAGGGGAAGCGATGGAGTTTTACTGTCTTACATGCGTTTGCTCGTAAGTGATGTAAACATATTTCTATCCGGTTTTCTTAAATTTTGTTTCAGGTATAAACCAGCATCATTCAAACTCTGGGAAAGCTAAATGATCCAAATTGTATTTGAAGTTGTCAGACCTTGACTTTTTCTGTCTGCAGTCCATCGGTCTCTGTCTCCATTTTTTCTTCTTCAGCACCATCTGTAATGGACCAGACCAATGTTTAACACAAAGCAGACTGCACAGCAAGAAGGGCGGCTCACGATTTCTGGCTTGACGGTTGAGAGCACTTTTACAAAGCATCACTACAATGGACAATGTACTCACCGCTACATCCCTGCTTGCCTGAGGTTAAATGAATCAAGCTTTCAAAGCAGATCAGTTTTAAAAGCCTCCTTGTCCAAAGGATTGCTGCCTCTCACTTATGCAATCATGAACTGCTGCATTCTTATCCAAATCGTGGTTACATCTGGCCAAACAGCACTTAAGAGCACAAGAACTGCCATGCAGGATCAGACCACACTCTGTTCTCATAGTTGCTGAATAGATCAAGGACTCTGGGGTCCATCTGAGCAGGAAACCAGCCTAATACAGGCTTTCATTACTAGGTGCTCATTCCAACCAGCTCTTCAGAGGGCTTCACCTTTAAACCCCATCCAGGGATCGGAACGTGAGAGCCATTTCACGGCAAGCGGGCTGCTCTTGGCGCCAAAGGAATGAATCCCAAACTTTTCTGGTGCTCTGCTCCCAAACCACTGATGAACTGATGAATGGTTTGCTACCCAACAGCGGCTTCAGAATGCGTTGAAGCCCCCACCACCCTAGGGAACTACTGATGGTGCCTGATTTAGCCAGCAATCAGATGTCTGCACCCCTTGCTCATACCTCCCTTCTCTGCCCCCTTTTCACCCCTCCTGGTTCCTAGGGAATTCTGCTTATCTGCCCCTTGGCAGGTTGCACCTGTCATATCTTTCATTTACTCATGGCCTCTGCCCAGATACTCCCCCAGAGCAGCTTTTGCACATTTTGGGCTTCAGAACACATGGAGGATATCGCACAGGGAAAAGCTGCCCCCAAGTGATTGTGTAACCTAATGTTATGGGAAGGATCTGTTCCAAGAGACCAGCTGCTTCCCCTCATAGTTACTGTCTCCGAAAATGAACTTCCTCTCATGGTTCTTAATACCCACTTCCTGGAAGTTGGGCATCAGCCGTAGGGATCTGTGATTCTACTGGAGCATCAGTTGAAGATTCTGTTGGGATGCAAAATCAGTCCAGCTCTAGCAATGGGAATAGATTAAGCAAATTAAGTGTGTTTATGCACATTTTCTTAATTGCCATAATTTATAGGCCCAGGACTGAACATCTTGGCACCAAGCAAACAGTCCTAAGTAATTGCCACTCAACACCTCCACGCAGCCTGTAAAATAAATTAATTAGATATATAAAACTCTCAGAGCGATCAATTAAAGAGCATCTCAAGGCAAAGACTTGTTGGTGGGCAGTTGAGGGAAGCTGCCTTTAATCCTATCCTGTATGTCCACAATAAAGTTCAGGCTTAAGACAGAATGCAGAATGTTACACCGTGGGCGGCGTCTGGGTTCTTTCGGTTCCTTGAGCAGAAGCTCGCCACCCAAACACTGTGTATAATAAAACCCTGCCCTGGATATTACACTCCGTGAGCAGTGGATTGTAACCTTGAAGGAGCAAAACCTGAAAATACGTTTATTAGTCTTAAAAGTGCTGTAACGCTTTTGTTATCGCTGTCACCTCCTGGAGGGGGCGGCGGGGTCATTCAATGGGTACCCATCCCCTCCTCTAAATTCCTTATTTCAGTTGATCCTGCCATTTGCCCAAAACTAGTGACCAGAATCTGCACCCAATTAAATCTTTGATATCTGGCAGGCAGCTGCTCATCCCTTTACACTTCGGTGGTTCCCAAGCCTGGGTCCCCAGATGTTCTTGGATGAGAACCCACAATTCCTGGCCAGCACAGCTAGCGGTGATGGTTTCTGGGAATTTTAGCCCAAGAATCTTTGCTTTATTGGTTGTTGTGGGTTTTTCGAGTGTTCATCTTCAGAGTGCTGTCCTCTAAAGATGCCGGCCACAGGGACGGGAGAAACGTTAGGAAGAACAACCTTCAGAACATGGCCAAAGAGCCCGAAAAACCCACAACAACCATTAGATCCCGGCCGTGAAAGCCTTCGCGAATACAACCTCTGCTTTACTTCCCACTTGATCTCCTTGGAGGAGACATTCCACCGAGCTCCTGGTGTCCCTTTACACTGAGTCCTGAAGCAAGAGAAAAAACATCTGGATCTAAAGCCCCAGATCCGCTGAGGCTCACACCTGTGTTATGCTCTAGTGCAGTGGTTCTTAACGTGGGCGATAATGCCCCCCAGGGGGCGATTTCATTTTTCAGGGGGGTGGTAGAACGAAAAGGGGCAGTGTGGGGGCACTGGAGCAGAAGGGGGCGGTATGAGGGCGCTGGAGCAAGCCAAACCTGTGAAGATGGCTGCAGCCTTTTTACAATGTGCATGAATATATATTTTCCTCCAATCTTAATTTAGTTTCAGAGTTTTCGTCTTGAAATTTTTAGTTCCTGCATTGCGGTTTGTTTTTATGCCCTTTTGATATTTCTTTTTGAGTCTTAAAATTCGCTTGCAACTAAATCATTAAATGTGACTTTTTGGGGGGGCATTTCATTTTCTTGGAATTGAATTTTGTTTTCAGGGGTCGTATATAAAATAAATAAATAAATAAATAAATAAATGAGATGTTGTCACCGCGGGGAGGGGGGTGATGATAACTTCCTCAATGGCTCAAGGGGGCGTTTCTTTCAAAAAGGTTAAGAACCACTGCTCTAGTGAAACAAAACTGCAGGTGATTCCAACCCCCAACCACTCCTTCCTAGGAGAAACCTGGAAGATAACTGCAAACCCCAGAGACAGCAGAACCACTCAGAGCTCTGCAAACAGAATCATGAACTGCTGGATCGCTCAGTGGCTGCGGAAGCCAGAGGTTGGGAGTGGGGATTTCCCACGGTGCCTCCTTGACAGAGGCTGGACTCAATGATTCATAGGATCTCTTTCAGCTCTGCAGTTCTAAGATGATGATGATGACAATGGATGGGCACCTACTCTTTCAGTACTCAAGCAAAGAAATAAAGATTCCTCTGAGGAATTCTTTTCCAAACATGAGTTGAAGAACCATGCCATGCAATCCAGGTCTATCAAAGGTGTAACACGACTGGTAGGTCTAGAGAGGCAGAGTGATTACTGGAGAGGTTACAAATGTGTGCCATTCACCTCTCTTTCGCATGTCACTGTAAAAATGCAGCCTGCTATTTCCACAAGGCATTTCCTAAAGAACAGTCCCTTAAGTCGCTTCGGAGAAGGAGAGGCAAAGAGGTTTGCTTCTGCTTCAGGTAACGCTATGTGCACAGCTGTGCATACTCCTTAGCCTAGAGACTGCCCTTCAGGAAAAAAAAGAGAAAGAGGATGTGACGTCTGGCACAGAAGGCAGGGGCCCCCACACCCGCTGCTTTTAGTTCATCAGTCTAGAGCAGTGGTGTCGAACTGTGGCCCTCCAGCTGTTCTTGGACTTCAACTCCCAGAAGCCTTCACCACCACCTCTGCTGGCCAGGATTTCTGGGAGTTGAAGGCCAAGAACATCTGGAGGGCCACAGTTCAACACCACTGGTCTAGAGCAATTATTCTCAAGTGTTTGTGGGCTGCAGTTCCCAGAAGCCTTCACCACCTCCGGCTCCGCTGGGCAGGGTTTTGGGGAGTTGCAGTCCAAGAACACCTGGGTGACCCAAGGTTGGGAACCACAGGTCTGGAACACAAAAGGCAGCCTTGATGCACTTCGAAACTTAGGTGCAGAAAGCAAAAAGGACGTTTAGCTGGCCTAACCCCTAGGCTCCTTCGGCAGGCAAAAGCAACAAGAAGAGCTGAGCAGCAAACTTGTGCAATGCCTTTGTTTCACAGAATTGGTACGGCGGCCAATGGGGGCCTTCCGGGTCACAGAACATGCCTGGTACGGCAAATGGGGGCCTTCCGGGTCACAGAACATGCAATCCTGTCTGTGGCAAAAAAACACGGGAAAGAAAAGAGAGTCCACACTGTGGTGGGTGGTGGTGGTGGGAACAGTGTGCCCACCAGGCAGCAGGTTTCAAATGTAACTCATGGCATCTCAGAATAAAAAAAAAAACACCCTTCCTCTGCCCGAGGCTGGCGAGAGCTACAGCGAGAGAAGCCCCTTGCTGGCTGGCTGGCTGGCTGGGTGAGAGGAAGAAGCAGTCGGACTCAACTTCCTATAGCCATCTCTGAAATACCTAGGGAGGGCTTAAAACCCAATCCTCCTCCTCCCCCTCTATCGTTCACACCAAGACAACAGAGAAACGATTTCTGCTTGTTCCAGACCACCAAGTCAAAAGCAGGTTGATAGCTTCCTCACTGTCCGGTCACTTTAAAAACAAGCTATAAGCCCGACCTATTTCCCCCCCCCCCAACAAGTTTAAAAACAAGCTATAAGCCCAACCTATTCCCCCCCCCCCAACAAGGCAGATCTGGCTATAGTTCTGAAACCGATAACCAGTTCCAAAGGATTCACTCAGGATAATAAAAGGCCCCATTAACTTATCTGACCGTCCTCTTGGAAGCTGATAAAGGGAGGGGCCCTATTACCTTTTTTCGAGCAAAATTTGCAGGGACGACGACCAAGGCACACATCTTCCAAGGAAGCTTTCTTCCAGTGTTTTCCTTACAAAAGCTTCCCACGTGCCTTTTCTAGCTCTTTGTTTAAAGACAAATCTTTTACATCCAAATTACAGCTCTAAACGGAACGCAAGCTGTGCAACTGCTAACTTGTACCTTCTCATACGCTGGGCGAAAACGATTCTGGAGTGCATACAATGAAGCGCGCGACCAACTCCTCCTGAACCCAAGCCTCTGTCCCCTTGCGCCTGCCCAGAACCTGGTTACCCCTTCAGACGTCCAGCCTCTCATATTAGGCCATGTTGGCAGAATGGGATGGGCAGCAACGATCACTTGCAGGTTCTTCGCCTACAAGGCCCTCTATCTCGTGGCTCAGCTAAACGATCTAGGGCCTCCCGAGTTCACCACGCAAACCCGAGCCAGAATGGACAGAAAAGATCACAAGCTGCTCCCAGGCCACACGTAACATTACGTCCTCCAACCGAGACACCTCTTTGATTTAGGCAGAGATGAGCAGGCATGCTCTGAGGACTTTATTTTTCCACTCTGTTAATTAACACAGAAAGTGCCTCCCCACAGGAAGCGTTTTTAGCTCTCTAGAGCATTAATGGCATAAGCAACCTCCATCCATTTTAGCTGCACAGATCTATGAGGAGCGTTTGGGGCAGGCACATGCCACGAATCTCTGCTGTTGCCCACTTGTATCGCCCCCCACAACCGAACGTGCCTTCGGGCAAAGAGCTGCTTCAGCGCAGACGCACCGCAGACCGCCAAGTGACCCAATTCAATCTTGCTAAGCCACTCCCCCCCCCAGAGTGAGCCATCTGCTCCTGCCCTAATTTATTCTATTAGTCACAGATCAATATCAATCAGATTAGCTGGCTAACGTTCATTATTAAAAAACAACAACATTCATTTTTTTCCCTCATTCAGAAACCATCGATGTTCCATGTCTTTTTACTGTGGCCTGGGAAAGGCTCTGCCACAGGTCAGTCTCCAACGTCACGGGGTGCTGACAAATTTAACTGCTGCACACTGCAGCCCGTCTGCCTCAAAGCTTATATATTCAGACAGACTGCAAAAGTCTACCTGACAGGCCTTCTCAGCTGATTTCCCCTGCAATACACAGCATGATGAATATTGCTCGGTGGTTGACGTCCTTGTCACATCCCAGTTGAAAAGCTGATTTCCCCTGCAATATACAGCATGAATATTGCTCAGTGGTTGGCCAAACAGAGAAGCGTTCTGGTTGACGTCCTTGTCACATCCCAGTTGAAAAGAAGGTCTCAAAGAGCACAGGTGGGCACAACCTCTGCCCGGCCTTCTCCAACCGGGCAATGTCCAGAATTGCTGGAGGGTCACTCCCATAATTCCAGGACAAGGCGACTGTGGCTGGGAAAGGCAGCCTTAGAGGGCAAGGGCTAGGATTGCCAAAGGTCTGATTATGGGCAAGGCAGCTTTCTCTCTGCTGGAATAATATCTGCACCAGCAGACCATGTGCTGCTGCTGCTCACAACCTTCCACGTTCATTTGGAGCCCCAAAGAGAGACAGGTAGCACATGAAAGCAGAAAAAGAGGTTACTTACCTGTAACTTTGGTTCTTCGAGTGGTACTCTGTGAATTCACACGGCCCGCCCGTCCTCCCCACTTTCCGTCACGGCTGTCTCGCCTTTAGAGCAGCAGCGGAATTTGGGGAACTGAATGGCTGTTAGGGCGGGCGGCCATGAGGTCCTGGGGGGGCGGGGCCAAAAGTGTTACTTTAAGCTCTAGAATGTTCCGAGACCTTCTGCGCAAGCGCAGATTAACCCATTAGTGTGATTTCACAGAGTCCACGAAGAAGAAAAAGAGGTTACTTACCTGTAACTTTGGTTCTTCGAGTGGTACTCTGTGAATTCACACGGCCCGCCCGTCCTCCCCACTTTCCGTCACGGCTGTCTCGCCTTTAGAGCAGCAGCGGAATTTGGGGAACTGAATGGCTGTTAGGGCGGGCGGACCATGAGGTCCTGGGGGGGCGGGGCCAAAAGTGTTACTTTAAGCTCTAGAATGTTCCGAGACCTTCTGCGCAAGCGCAGATTAACCCATTAGTGTGATTTCACAGAGTCCACGAAGAAGAACAAGATCTTCTCCAAGGTGTGGTTACAACTGCATTACAGCAACCTGTTCTCTAAGACTGAGAAGGAAGAGGATGGAGGTGGCACCCGGATGTGCTGTGACATCGGCTTGTTCTGACCCCAGATGATTTCATAAACCCACCCTTGCCTTTTCAGGGAGCTGTTTTACAGAGGCGACCGGACCATTAATCTCAACGGGGGGAACCGAATAATCTCGATTAAACTCAAAGCATAAACCTGAAGTCTTTCAGCAGAAGCATCTTGAGTATAAACACGCCATTGGCAACCCAACCCAACATTTCTATGGTATAGATCCAATGCCTACTCACACCTCTTTAAGAAATGCATTAAGGACAATTCCAACTTTCCAAATACACTAAAATCATTTTCCTTGAGCCTAAGAGTGATGGAGGAAACAATGATTACAGGGTATCAGTTTTCACACTATCTTTGTACTAACCGAAATAAAGAAGGAAACCCTTCACCCACCCACCCTCTATTTTAGTACATGTTCTGAAACAGACTGACACGGCTACCTCTCGGGAAACAACCACCATTTAAAAAAACATTCAAGCACCACCGTTACTACTGTGATACAGTCCTCCCACTGCAATGTTCTCAGTGGCCCGCAACCTTCTTAACCTTCTTCTCTGTCATCCCTTCTCCTCTCGGACCTGGAGCAAGCTGCTTTCCTTCGGCTGACAGAAAAAAACAAATTCGCGGTATTTGGGCGGTAAAGGGCAGAAGATGCCAAAACCAACCACAAGAAAACCTACCAGGTTTCTCTGGCTCATCGGGTGCTGTTCCAGCGATGCAGCTGCTCTCCAGTCCATAAGTGGGATCCACTTTTCCAGAGAGCCGGGCAGCCTCCTGCACTTTTTTGACATGGGCCTCCACCAATTCCAGCGGTACCTCCTCTCGGACTCGGGAAAATTCCTCTGCCAAAGAATCAAAGGACAAAGAGTAATAAGTCTGCTCTTCGTGACAAGGTTTTTCAAAATCGTGCATCAACAAACCAAAGAAACATTAAAATATGGGCTTGGCAGATCACCAGCACCAGCAGCAGTAGCGAAACTTGGTAAAACGTTTACTACCGTTGTTGCTCTTGTTAATCAAATATTTATTTAACATGGGAAGCTCCAAGGCAGGGGATAAAAGGAGCTGATGGTGGGCTAACAAAAGTGACTGTGACAAGTTAGCAGAACAGAAGGAAGGGAAATGTGGAAAGAGATGGGCGTCAGTGCAGACAGAGAACCCTGAAATTAATGTCCAGCAGCGTGAAGCTGAAGCCACAGGGGAGCACCGCAAGCACCAAGATGAAACATGAAGACATTAATGGAGGATAATTTTAGCACTGGCATTTTGCATGGACTGATCAAGAAAACAGGACAGAGAGAGAGGGCAAGGCTGTTCACAGCCAGATATACAGGGAGAAAGATGCCGGAGAGGAAAACTCAGCTCCCAAGTTCTTTCGGCTTAGTATTGCTTTAAAAAACAACATTACACACAAACCCAACCTTCCCTTCCCAATAATGCACACATTTCCACTGTAGAACTATTAATATGTTATGTTGTTTAGTCGTTGTGTCCGACTCTTTGTGACCCCATGGATCAGAGCAGGCCAGGCCCTCCTGTCTTCCACTGCCACCCAGAGTTGGGTCAAATTCATGTTGGTCGCTTCAATGACCCTGTCCAACCATCTCGTCCTCTGTCGTCCCCTCCTCCTCTTGCCCTCACACTTTCCCTACATCAGGGTCTTTTCCAGGGAGTCTTCTTTTCTCATCAGATGGCCAAAGTATTGGAGCCTCTGCTTCAGGATCTGTCCTTCCAGTGAGCACTCAGGGTTGATTTCCTTCAGAACGGAGAGGTTTGTTCTCTTTGCAGTCCAGGGGACTCTCAAGAGCCTCCTCCAGCACCACAATTCAAAGGCATCAATTCTTCGGCAGTCGGCCGTCTTTATGGTCCAGCTCTCACTTCCATACATCGCTACAGGAAAAACCATAGCTTTGACTATGCAGACCTTTGTCGGCAAGGTGATGTCTCTGCTTTTTAAGATGCTGTCAAGGTTTTTCATCACTTTCCTCCCAATAAATACACATCTTTTAATTTCGTGGCTGCTGTCCCCATCTGCAGTGATCATGTAGCCCAAGAAAGTAAAATCTGTCACTACCTCCATATCTTCCCCTTCTATTTCCCAGGAGGTGATGGGACCAGTGGCCATGATCTTAGTTTTTTTGATGTTGAGCTTCAGACCATTTTTTTGCGCTCTCCTCTTTCACCCTTATTAAGAGGTTCCTCCTCACTTTCTGTCATCAGAGTGGTATCATCTGCATATCGGAGGTTGTTGATATTTATTCTGGCAATCTTAATTCCTGCTTGGGTTTCATCCAGTCCTGCCTTTCGCATGATGTATTCTGCATAGACATTAAATAAGCAAGGAGACAATATACAGCCTTGTCATACTCCTTTCCCAATTTTGAACCAATCAGTTCTTCCATATCCAGTTCTAACTGTTGCTTCCTGTCCCAAGTATAGATTTCTCAGGAGATAGATAAGGTGGTCAGGCACTCCCATTTCTTTAAGGACTTGCCATAGTTTGTTGTGGTCCACACAGTCAAAGGCTTTTGCATAGTCAATGAAGCGGAAGTAGATGTTTTTCTGGAACTCTCTGGCTTTCTCCATAATCCAGCGCATGTTAGCAATTGGGTCTCTAGTTCCTTTGCCCCTTCGAAATCCAGCTTGTACTTCTGGGAGTTTTCGGTCCACATACTGCTGAAGCCTATCTTGTAGGATTTTGAGCATAACCTTGCTAGTGTGTGAAATGAGTGCAATTGTACGGTACTTGGAGCATTCTTTGGCACTTCCCTTCTTTGTGACTGGGATGTAGACTGATCTTTTCCAATCCTCTGGCCACTGCTCAGTTTTCCAAAGTTGCTGTCATATTGAGTGTAGCACCTTAACAGCATCATCTTTTAAGATTTTAAATAGTTCCACTGCAATGCCATCACATCTACTGGCCCCTTCACGGATTGCTGCCTTGTCATGGCGAAGGGCTTGAGTAATTCAGAGAAGCAATGGGCTATGCCGTGCAGGGACACCCAAGACGGACAGGTCCTAGTGGAGAGTTCTGACTAAACGCGATCCACCTGGAGCAGGAACTGACAAGCCACTCCAGTATCTCTGCCAAGAAAACTCCATGGACAGAAATAATAAATAATACAAGGACAATTTTATTCATCCGTCCTCCATACGGCATCATGGGGAGCCTTCATGAAAGCAGAATTAAGACTTGGGGCTGACAGGAGAACTCAAAGCATTCCTAACAGGTGAGCCAGGGCCTTTTGAAGTTATTTTTGTTGAGCTACAACACTGACAAGTCATCGCCTGACATTTTGGTAGCACTTGGCTCAAGCCGTATTTTACTAACATTAACCCATTAAGTTGAATGATAGGAGAGAGAGAGAGCGCAAGGCAGGGATCAGGTGGCTTCTCTGAACCGGCCAGCCAGCCTGCCTGTGTACAGCATCAGCTTTGCTCAACCTTTCCAAGCAATTCTACCCAAGTAATTTTCAGTGAATTACTTTGAGGGGCCAACCAAAGGCACCGCTGTGAGTTTTCTTCAAATCTAAGACTAAGCCAGCACCACCAAGCGAGATTCTAAGACCTTACCAGACGAGATTGTAAAAGGGGGGGGGGGGAAGAAGGCAACACCCCACCTAAAGCTGCTTTAGCTGCAGCAGACGCCACCCGGGGATCCACAACAGATGCCAGAAAAGCCACCGTGCTCATGACAGGGTTTCCAGATTGGCTAAAAGGCACCGGCTGGTAAGCCAAAGGCCCCAGGGAGGCATCCGAGTTCTCCAAATAAGGATCCTCAATGGGAAGCCGCAAGAAATGAAGAATACACTCGTCCTGGGTGCGGCTTCCCACATGCTCAGAAACTTTATTCCAGTCATCCTTGTACATCTCCAGAGCCTGCAAAAGAGAGAGGAAAGCAGGTTTTCAAAGGGAGAAATATATATACAAACCATCCGATCAAGGCAGCTGGTTTCAAAAAGCCTGGAAGTGCAAAATACACAAGAAAAACAAGCTCTCTCTCTCCCCCCCCAAAAAATAAAGAGAGAACAATATTAAAAACGAACAAACAGGACACACAGAGGAAGATTAGTTCAGGCAATTAAAAAACAATTTAGAGTCTTATGGAGATTAGAAGGAGGCGACTACATGTGCCCAAGCGCTTTTGGGGAGGGGAAAAAAGGTATTTTAATTGATTTTTGCTAATTTTCATACGAAAGGAAGAACAACAGATGTTCACACTGAAATATCCAAGGAGAGAAAGCTATCACAAGTACAATGTATATTCAAGAAAGGAAGATGCAAGATCAGGGTAACAGGAGGGACTGGCAACAAAGTCACACGTATCAAACCCATTCATCGGAATCATAGGATAAACATTCTCCAAAGACCGCTGGACAGCACAGGGCCGTAAACAACGCAATGATAGAGAGTCACCTACAAAGTGAGCCAAACCTTTGGAGATGTACATCTGTTGAGCCAGCCTCTGTCCCCTTGTGTTCCCGTGGCCTCACTTTCCCTCTTGCGAGAGATGGACCACATCTCGGAGAGGACAAGTGATGGCAGGGGAAGGAGGCTCGACTCCAAGGACGCCTCCCCCAATTCTTTTGATGGCCACCTGCTTGTCAGTCGCTGCTTCCTGCCGTCAAGACGTCTCTGACTCATGGCGACCCTAGGGAGGAGCTATCTCAAAAATGTCCTGTCCTCAACAGCCCTGATCAGCTCTTGCAAACTCAAACCCTGTGGCTTCCTTGAGGGAGCCAATCCACCTCGTGCTCGCTCATCCTCTTTCCCGGTTGCTGGCCACCTTTCCCCGGCATTACTGTTTTCAGTCGGCCCCGTTAAAGGTTTCTCATTTAAGACAGAGAAATGAAGCTTTAAGTACAGCTGTTTGCATATATGGCTGAAGGCAATCTGGATGCAAGAAAAGACAAACTGATGGAAAGCCCAGCTGAAAACCAGAATGCTTCTAACCTCAGCATTTGAAAAAAAAAATTTCAGTCTTAAGGGAGCTGGAGGCCTTACTTTATTTACTGGTTTCTAAACAGCTGAACCTTTTCCGATCAAAGTATGTTCCTCTCTTGCTTTTTACTACGGACGTCTGTGCATGTCTTGCTTGTGTGGCGAATCAACCTGTCCGTTGACAACAGGACCTGAGCGCTCTGTGAATGTTCCTTAAGGAGCAGCTTCTCACACAGGGCCAGAAGCTGGTGGGAAGACACAGATATGGATTTATTTCAACCTCCACCTCCACTTCTTTTGCATGGTAGCTTGTCAGAAAAGAGGAAGTGTTGGGCACATGCCTTTCGACTGCATCTGACTGTAGCTGGGGTTGACAGTGTTGCCAAGAAATAGTGTCCTTCCCTCATCAGGGCTGGGGAAGGAGACTGGCAACTAAGAGAACAGGGACGTTCTCAGGTTTCAGTCAGTTGAGAGCCAGAAGCCCGCTCGCTCCACAGGGCAGGTCCAAGAAATAATGGGGAGGCGAGGTCTACTCAACCTAGATCGCATGCTGGAATGATATTCTAGCATCCTTTCCAGAACCACTTCAGAACCCTTGACAAAGGGGCAGAACTGCCTGTGACCATCAAAACTTCCTCCCTTCCTCTCTCTTTCTCTTCCTTCCTTCCTGTATCAGCTCCTCCCTCCCTTCCTTCTACTCTTTCTCTTCTTTCCTTCCTGTATCAGCTTCTTCCTTCCTCTCTCTTGTCCTTCCTTCCCTCCCCTCTTTCTCTTCCTTCCTCCCTTCCTTCCTTCGTGCTAGGGGAACAGCAGCCTCCCAAAGCAGGGCAGGACCACCCACCCCGACCCACAAACACACAGAGAACCCCCCCCCCCAGGGGAGCTCTGCAGAGGCTCCAAAGGCAAGCAGGGGGGGAAGGCCTTGAGGGGCTGCCTTGGTCAGACATGAATTCCCGAAACTGGAGGCATGGGCTCAGCTGTCTGGCTGTGCCTTGCAGGCTCAGCTGCCGAGGAAGCTCGTGGTCAAGGGCTTGGATCCTTCCTTCCTACCTACCTACCTATGCTGGCAGCCAGCTAGTTTTTCCCCAAAGACAACATTTATCTTGTCGCATTCTAACCTTTGTTTTCTATTCAGCAGGTACATTTACTTCCGTTCCCCCACAGTCCTTTCCTCTTCTAATAAGCTTATTATTATATTATAATAAAAGCAGTTTCAAACAACTTCATGAAACTGTTCTCTAAGACCTGAGAGTAATTAAAGCCGAAGGAAGAATAATTCTGCTCCATGCCAAGCAAACCAGAGTAGACAGGCGAGAACCAGTTTCGGCATCTATTTTTTGAAGCCTGCTGGCATCTGCATTTGCTCCTAGGCACTCCGATGATTTCGAGCAGAGCTGCTTCATATGCAGGAAAGCTAAATACAAACTGAGCTGCTCTTTATTGTCTACCTTGATATTTAAAGAGGAAGTGAAAGGAAAAAAGTTAATTGTGTTCAGAGTGCCAAATCTGAGCACAGGCTGAGGGTTTTCCTTCTGCCGGAGGCATCAGAGGAACGGCCCTCCGATAAATTAGCAGTTAGGAAGTCTCCTCGCTAATCGGCATAGCAACCATTCCATTTTGCTCAGATACTCCCTGTATCATTGAGCCTCTTTTCAGATTTGGAAGCTTAAGATCAACAAGACACCTCTGGACTGCTAACAAACCACATTATCATATCTTTCTGGAAATCACTGCTCTACGCTACTCACACGTCTAACAACAATGAAGCTGTAACATATAAGGCAGATGTAAATTATCTTATCAACACGAACACTTAAACCATCAGACACGGTCAGGTTTGTTAAATCCTATTATTTTAGACTTGTTCCTGTGTTGATCATCAAAGCAGTGCCGGCCTTATTTATCCTAAGATACGGCAACTTCTTCCCCATTTCCCAGACAAAAGGATTATCTAGATCCATTTCAATCTAGCAAAATTAATCCTATTCTGTTGTCCTTTGAGCTAACAGCCACCTCCCCGTTCCCTCTCCTGCAAACTAGGGGAGAAGAATGGACCACCTCGTTATCAAGAAGGATCACGTGCCCCCAGCGGCTGAACTTTACAAGCCTATTGCAGGAGGGACTTGATGGACTCGTCTTGTGTCCCCACCAAACAATCTGTGAAGGTGGCGGGACCAAGAGAAAGGCCTCCTCTGATGATCTTAACACCTGAGCAAGCTCATAATGGGAGACACAGTTTTTGAGATAGTTTGGACCCAAGCCATATGTCTCTTGGGAAGCCATAACCAGCAGTCTGTACCATGTCTGGAAACGGATTGGCAGCCAGTGGAGCTGCTATAACGGGGTTTATGTGGTCCCTGAGACCAGCCCCAGTCAGCAATCCGGTAGATCACTGTTCTACTGTTTGATCAGCCAGTTCTTTTGTATCTTTTGACAGTTCCACATTCCTTTTAAACTCAAAAGCAGAATAAAAATGTCTTAAACAGCCAATTAACTGGCACCGCCTGGCAAGCTTGGAGAGAGGGTATCTGGTGTGTTCAAAGACTAAAAGTCAGCCAAGATCTCCCCGTTCGTAGCAAGCCACGACGTATGCAAATACTGTTCTTGGAAGGCCTCCGTATTGCTGCGATACAGAGGAAAATTAGGCCTGCTCAGAAAAACAGCACAGCTGGTGTTTACTACTCGTCTGGTGCTGAACAATGAAAAAAAATCTCTCAGGGTCATCATCATACTTGCCAGTGTGCCTCAGGAGGCAGTCATCTGGCAAAGGAGAGATTTCAAAGTACTGAAGAGTTGCACAGAGAGCCGCTTTCTGAAGAGACCCCGGTTTCCTCGCTCACTGCTGGGGGCGGCCAGGACACAAGCCTGCAGCAGATCAGGAACCAGACAAGGCAACGTCGACGGGAAAGACCGGGGAAGGCTCTCCACCCGCCCGCAGCGGTGGCAGCACATCCTCTGGCCCAGTGGAAGCCGCCTGGGTGGGAAAGACAGACGACCGTCCTGCTTTGTCCGTCTGGGCAGTAGAGGCACTCAGCGACTCATGATCTCTGCCACAGACCTGCCTCCGATCGTGAGGCAATCCCAGCCAGGTGTGTGGCATCCCATGAACAGGCCTGGATTGCTTGTTGTGTCTGGTCTGGGCCACTGAAGAACTACCTTTTTCCTGCAGGTTTTTCCCCATTAGAGGCCATCTCTCGGACCCCGCCAATACCCACAATACAGTCAGCAGGAGGAGCCCAACTTGGGAAAAGAACCCCTTCCCACCTCTTTCTCCCACCTAAAAAAAAAACCCAAACCAACACACACCTCTGTGTATTAGTGCAGAGGTCGACAACCCCCGCAGTGCCGGTCCGTGGCCTGAGCCGGACCGGGCTGCGGAGACAGACCTCCCGCCCTGCACGCATGCACTCCCCTCCCCATAGCTGCTTTGTGCACGCGTGCCACCGGCGGTATAAGTGCTCCCCCACCCCTTCACACATGTGCCCGAGAGCAGGCAAGCATGGGGGTGTGTGCCCCGCCTTCCTCAGAGGCTCAGCCGGTCCGCGGCCCCAAAAATGTTGGAGACAGCCGTATTAGAGAAGCCACGTTCCATGCAATTTACAGAAATATCAGGAAAGAATGATTGAGTGCTGTGGAGCATCGGGACCAGGCATAGCGGGCCACTCTAAGGAATGCATTTGTGGAGCGGGAACAAACACACCCACCCACACGAACACCCACACACCCTCTCTTTCTGATTATTTATTTATTTCATAGATTTATTTACTGCCCCATTCGTGTGTGGCACTAGTAATAAATGGAACAAACAATTAAAAAGCTGCCTTCCTAAAACAAGTGGACAAACGTGTCCTCCTGGAACGGGCGCTCCATCTGCATGTCAAGAACGGCTCTGCTTTCAGCGCAAGCATTAACAGCTTCCTCTGACAGCCTCTAGTGTTGCTCGAAAGCTGTGAGCATCACACATGGCTCTACACAAGCTGAGAAGGCTTTTAAGTCAGGAGCGACAAACGATTTTGAGTAGGGCAAAACCAAAACAGAAATAAAAAAGTGAAGACCAAAATGTGGTGGCACCTTAAAGACGAACTGCTTTATTTTAATGTGAGTTTTCACAAACAAGTCCCCTTCTTCAGACGTATTCCAAATTTCACCCAGCAGCCTCCTTGCCGCATTAAAATTCCCGCTTTGAAACCTTTCCCGTCTCTTACCTCAAGGAGCAGCAGCGTCTCTTGTTCTGTCCATTCCCGCCCAGCGCTGGCACTTTTGCTCTGAAAAAGCAAAAAAAGAGAGATTAATATTTGCAAATAATTAGAAAAGTAACAAGCAAATTAATTTTGAAGACTGGTACAAAAAATGTGGAGTTTAGCGATTAATGTTGAACTAACATGTGAAATGAGAGTAAGAAGGGGAATGACAAACCATAACGATTTTAAAGAGGTGTGGAATTTATATTTGGAGTATGTCTTTGTGAACCAGAGAGGTCATCAGCCAGCAGAAGAATCAATGTATTTTTGGAGTGGAGTGGGCTGAAAAGGGATTAAAAGGATATTTCTGGTTACCTAGTCTGGAGGGTGATGGTGGAACAGGTGGGGAATTATAGCTGTATTGTATTGTATGTATACACATTTTAGGTTAGTGTTGCTGTTATTAACTTTCTTTAATAAAGAGCATTTTAAAATAAGCAAAAAAAGTGTGCTGCTTATATACTGCTCCATCACACTTAAAGCCTTCTCTGGGCAGTTTACAAATTAATTGTGCAGGATACACATTGCCCGAGTCGGCTACTCAATTTGCCAACCTCAGAAGGATGGAAGGCTAAGGTGAACCGACAGTTGCCTGTTTTGGAAATCAAGATTCCTTTCAGGGGGTGGGGGTGGTAGGGGAAGAGGGAGAGGCCACACAGAAACTCAGCCATCCTCGTCCTAAAACTGGGGTAAATCTTGGTTCACTCAACAGGTAGTAAATAGGTAATCAAAGCCAAATTAATGAACCTGGTGCCTCAGGCCAGCAATAGCTATGAAGAAGGGACCTGTAAAATCCTGGGGAAGGAAATAAACCCTGGGGCTAGGAACGGTTCCCCCCACCCACCATTGCACCCCTGCCTGGATCATCTGTTTGCTTCCCTCCCAATCTCCAAATATAGCAGCCAGCTTTCAAATGGTCACGAGCCTCCTGGGGACATGATTCAGGTGTGTTCAGAAACACTTCAAAAGTTCAGAGAGTATCTCCGGATGGTTCTCCTATCACTGCAGCCCTCAGACCAGCCACTGACACTCCATTCTAGATAGGCTGAAGGGAGAGCAGTGTGGATGCTTGCATTGCAGCTATATATCCGTCCACTGAAATATAGATCTTAATCATAATGGAGAAGGATGATTCCTCAGGAGGGAGTTCAAAGGTTAGATACCGAAACAGCCATTTCCACACTGGGAACCTGACTCCTTTCGGCCTTTCTGGAACAAAGAGGGGAAAAAAATATCTAAAGCCTTACCTTGGCTAATGTCTTCTTTGAGTAAATGTCCGTGCGGAGTCCAAAGTTCTGCATGTCTGTAGGCTTCTCCTTGTTTTTCTCAGGAAAATTCAACATTTGCTGAGCTGCTGGAACCTAAGTGAAAGAAACGCAAAGCTTATCAGAACACAAAGGAGGACCCAGCGCAAACCCTGCAATAACCAGAGGAAAAAAGTCTGGCTCAACAATGGCAAATTGCATCCCCAAAGACTTTGGGGGAGGTGATTTAACACTGTAAGCCAAATCTCTCTCTCGGAGGTGGGGGGGGGTAGGAGTACAGAAGGATGTGGTCCTTTTAAGGCCTAAGGGAGGGCAAAAATGGTCCCATAAACTTGTGGTTCTCAAACTGAGTCCCCAGATGTTTTTGGACTCAGGACTTCTGGGAGTTGCCGTCCAAGAACATCTAGGGACCCAGGTTTGAGAAGCACTGCCCTAAACCAGCCATTCTCAATGGGTGCCGTATGGCCCCTGGCCCCCCGGTACATTTGAAGGGGGCCACAGACTGGAAACAATGATTCACATACCACCGTATAAGGTTACGCGACTTCTCCTGAGTCACCTTTTCACATTGTTTAAGGCCCTGCCCAGAAAAAGGTTGGCTGCCCTAAACCCTCCATAGCTGCCAACCAATTTTAAGATACAGTGATATGCCAGTACTGGGGCGGAGGGGGAGGGGAATAAAATTATACTCCACTTCTTAGGAAAGCACCACCCTAACCTGGTGCCTTCTAGAATGTGCTGCAACTACAGCTTCTTCTCATGGCCACCCAGCACCACCCATGGATGTGAGCGGCACCCATCACACTGGAGAGCAGAGCGTTGAGTTAGGAAAACTTGTTTTAGCGTTTCTATCTCAATATTTTCCAAACAGGTGAAAGGTAACAGAAAAGATACTTTTCAGGAACCGTATTCTGCTTACTCTCTACAGCAGAGGGTCTCCAAACCATTGCCTTCCAGATTTTTTATAGACCAGCTCTCAGAAACCACCCCCTGCGACCTACGGCTATTCCAGCTGGGACTTCTTCTGGGAACTGATTTCCAAAACAACTGGAAAAGCAAAGGCTGGCAAATACCAGTCGGTAAGAACTAGTCCCACAAGGGACTGATGGGTGCTGCAAAGTGTGATTTTACAAAAACCTCTCACCACACAGACTGTGCATAATGGGATACACTGGTTTGATTCAAGGTGCCACAAATGGCACCCACAAATTATGTTTAGATGAGCAAGATGCTTACCTGAGCTGTACGTAAGTGAAGCGGCACAAGTCCCGAGGGTGTGTCGGCAAGCACGTTGAAATGAGGGGTGGGAGGGGGACCCATGGCCATGGGCCGGCTTTCTGGATCCACCTGGTAATTAATGAGTCCCCACTGCTCCAGAAAAGCATGCACCCTGGGCGGCATCACAAGAGAGAAAGAATGGTGGGAAAATCATGAGAACTACAAGCAGAATTGCACCAGAAGAATACAACAGGCACTGGAAACTGAGAGGTGATGAGCTCAGGGTCAGAGGTGGCCCGAGGAAACTCCCAATCTGGCTTGCATCCCCATTATTCCCACAGCAATGAAGTACACAAAAATGGCCTTGTCTGCACAACCAGCAACCTTCCCCCCCCCCAAAAAAAAGAATGCAATTGGGCACTTCAGCAACCTCTCCTTGCATGCTGTCCTCTATCTATCAGGGCCTGGCCTGGCCATTAGGCTGAGAGGGAGAAGATCCGCCCACTTGTGACTCCCAGAGGCTACCCCAGTGAAAACTGATGCTGCCTCCTTGTAGTAGAGTAACTGCTTTGACTGCCAGGAAAGCAATGCTTTAGAAGAGGGAGCCGTCGCAGTCTGTGCTAGCACAGGTGATGAGGATCTTTGGCTGACAACAAGATCTAATAGAATTGGCACATTTTCAACAAAAGCTGTAAAACTGCTTTTCTGCACCTCTTGTAGAGATACACAGCCTTCAGGAACCAACCCACCCACCCCCCCAGCAAGCCTGGCATTGAAGCGCCATGGAAGAAATTTGGCTTCTGCAATGGTTGTGTATGCATACATAGGTGTAACTTCTAAACATCATCAGAAGCAGGGCCCAAAAAGTGCTGCATCTCTGATCTAGAACCTGGCCACAGTAGCTGATGACTTGGTAACTCCCCCACCCTCACCCCCCCCAGTTAGACTACTGCAGTGCAGTCTATGTAGAGCTACCCTTGAAGATGGTGCATACACTACAATAGGTGCAGCAGGCAGCAGCCCGATTGCTAACAGGAACATCCTTCAGAACCCATGTGACACCAGTTCAGAAGGATCTGTCCTGGCTGCCAATATACTTCTGGCCTGAGTTCAAGGCGTTCCTGGCGACACACACAGCCCTGAACAATTTGGGACCTGAATAGCTGAAGGACATAAATTTGCCCTATGAGGAAAGACTGAAAGAACAGGGCATGTTTAACTTTGAGAAAAGAAGACGGAGGGGAGATGACGGGATAGCATTCTTCAAAGACTTGAAAGAAAACGGGACCACCCTCTGTCAGATCTGCTTTGACGTGGATTCCTGCACTGAGCAGGGTGTTGGACTTGATGGCCTTATAGGCTCCTTCCATCTCAATTATTCTATAATTCTATGATGTCAGAACCTTCTTCCAAGAGCCCTGCAGAACTTTATAGACTTCTTGAGAATAACCAAAAGACTGTATTAGTCACAGCTGACATTCATCCCAATTAAGAGTTAACTCCAGAATGAAACCAGAGAATCGTTGACAAAAATATCAAAATTCTTCTATCATGGTATTAATTTTTTCAGTATTGCAATGATTCAAAACAACATCAGCTTGTCTACTTCTACAAGCTTTTTTTACCTTTATTACTTCTATGTACTATAAACATAAAATACTTCAGAGCTGTTTCAAAAATACAAAAGTCTATGAAGAAAACCATAAGTACAAATGCTTAAAATATATGAAAACTAAATTTAAATTTAGTTAAAGAAAGTCAGACTTCACTCCAAAATATAGACAAATACCCTTTGAAACAGTGTTTCAATTATAGTCTAAAAATACAAGAGCTTGTAACCTAAAAAGGCACATTGAACCAGCAAAGAATTGTTCTCCAAAATGGATAATTAAAAAGGAAAAAGCATTGTAACTTCAAATCATCTTTAGCCTTTAAGCATTTTGTTTGTTTGTTTTTAGGATTGATTGGTTGGTTGGTTGGTTGATTGGTTGGTCAGTCGGTTTATATACTGTCCCATTAGTGCACACACTACTCTGGGCAGTTTACAGGCTAAAACATATAAATCTCAAAGACTCCACAAGGAAATATGTATAACAATATGGCATTTCTTTTTAATCATTAAAAGAGAGAGAGAGAAAAGCAAGAATAAGGGTCACTAGCAAGAAAGCCTTTCTTCCCCCACAGATATGGTGGTCCTATTGTACATCTTAACACAATGATGCCAGTTCCTGGTACTAACTCTAAATATCCCCCCTTAAATATTGTACTTCTTTTTCTCTTTGTTATGCAAAACAGGGCCCACAAAGTTACAAAGAATTAATGATGAATGATAAAATCGGTTAAACTAAATGGCCCACAACTGTGTAAGCTGCACATACCATATATGCTTCCTGCTCTCCCTTCCACACTGCAGTAAATAGAACTTTAAAAATGCATTTCTTTCTTCTTCATAGACACAGTACAGTGGGGTCTTGACTTAAGAACGGCTTGAGTTAAGAACATTTTGACTTAAGAACCGCTCTCATAGGAAAATATTGACTTGACTTAAGTACTTAGATTTGAGTTAAGAACTGAAAAAAAATCACGTGGGAGGCAGGGAAAGTGCAAAATTTGAACTTTCAGTTAACTGTTGGCCAGTGAAAAGGGTGCCTGTCTGCTTCCTCACT